GCTCCGTCGCGACAACTTCACAGTAGTGGAGATAATATCAAAATGTTTCCAGATTACGATACTGATGAGCGGTACCGTGATCAACAGAATCAACAGCAGCCACATCAACAAACACAAATTCAGCCATCAGACACGGACACTCAAATGATACATTCACAAGCACAATCACAGTCAGTCGATAACAGTGATCCTGGCGATCAACTATACGATGACGAGCACATTCATCCGTCTCAAACGACTGACGCATATTCGGAACTATCGCAACCGGAACGACGGGGAGAGACACCTCCTTCGGATTCAGATTCTCAGAGTCCATTAGTAGCTGATCATGACAGTGACACTGATGGAGATCAACAATCAGAAGGTACCAAATAGCTTTTGAAGATACCAACTTTATGCTCAGAACATTATCATTATAAGCATTTCACATGAACATATCAAAGGAGTATCAAAAATTCCAGATTGGCACCGCATTATGAGAGCGGAGTTCTATCTCATTTTCCAGATGTCTNAGGAGTATCAAAAATTCCAGATTGGCACCGCATTATGAGAGCGGAGTTCTATCTCATTTTCCAGATGTCTTGAGTGTTCATCACGATAACCAAAGAAAAACGAAAATTTGTTACTGAGGCATACTATTCTTTGCCTAAGCCTTTTTCACATTTTAAGACGTATGATTACATGTGGATGAGTGTGCAGTCCGAATATTTGCCACAGTTTCAGTTGACAGTGAACGAGATCAATCTACACCGAGTCGGTCGTTCTCAGCCAACACGTGGTCACCACGCAATAGACGTCCTATAGATCGGTTCGGCGGTCCTCCGGAACGCTTCGGTCACACTCGGATTCATACGTCGATTCCACGAACTCATCCATCTTTCAGATCCTCTCAATCATGGTCACATCACGCACAGCAACCTCGTCGGCAGCATTTCGCACATCATCAACGCCGACCTCAGCCGCAGCCTCAGCCTCAGCCTCAACTTCAACTCCAACTCAAACTTCAACCGACATACCCACCAAACCGACAAANTCAAGTCAACCTCGCAGTAATTTCGTTCCGCAACTAATCAAAGAACCTCCACGACGAGCATTTGACACTCGTCTCTTCTCGATGAAACAAGACACCGTTGGACCACCAGGTTTTCAGCAAGCCGAGAGCGTTAGTCAACAGCGCACTGTCCATTCCGTGCTACCGGCCCAAGTAGCAAATCCTCCTGGTTCGAGACCATCGATTGTACCACAACAACAACAACAACAGCAACAGCAACAACACCAAATACAGCGACCAAGAGAATTCCAGAGCGATGCACCACAACGGTCAATGGGCACTGTAGTAAATAACACGCAACAAAGAATCATTTTTGCGCAAACAGTTGTGAGACCACCTCCTGCAGGGGGTAGATCCCTGCAACACTTCGTTGGATTCTCTATTGCTCAACAATCTGTGCCATTTCAACACAGACAACAGCAACTGAGCGCAGCCGAAGTTGACCAACAACGGTTTCTGATACAACAGCAGCAATTGCAGCAACAGCAACAAATGCAGCAACCGCAGCAATTACAGCAACANTACAACAGCAGCAATTGCAGCAACAGCAACAAATGCAGCAACCGCAGCAATTACAGCAACAGCAAATACAACAACAGCAACTACAGCAACAACAAATACAACAACAACAACTACACCAACAACAGCTACAGCAGCAGCAACTACAGCAACAGCAACTACAGCAACAGCAACTACAGCAACAACAGCTACAGCAACAACAACTACAGCAACAACAACTACAGCAGCAACAATTGCAGCAACAACAGCAAGTACAGCAACAACAGCAAGAACCACAGTGGGAGAGTGTGAGAAGTGACGATCGTCGATTCGAACCATCGGGACGTCAACAGACGACGCCGGGATTCGGAACCGGAACAGCGCCGGAAAATCAGAATTTTGGAATTCGACTCTCTCAACGACCCGTCTCACCTCAACAACAATTTCCACCATCTTCTGAGAGGGAATTCATATCTCCATCTGACAGGCAACAGCCTGCTCAACAAACACAACCACAACAATGGTCCATTGAAACGCAGCGATTCGGTAGTGTTTCGAGGCCAACTCAGCCGCCACTCACTAGTGTTCAACATCCCCAGAGCCGGTGGACTCATGCACATGTTCAGCAACCCGCAGCACTGCATCAATCGCAACCTCAGCCTCTGCCTCAACCTCAGCCATTACAAGCCTCGTCTCAGCAAGCTCTGCCAACTCAACAACCTTTTGATGCACATGCGCAAGAGCACATTTCTTCACGGCGACCAGAGGAATTCGTTTGGCGTCCTCAAGCAGATTCTGCAAATCGGAGATCACGACCAAGCGATTTCTTTCGTAAAAATGGTTCCGATCCATACGAATGCATGGATATTCTTTGCTTGTGCCCTTATATGGGAGGTAAGTTCATGGTGGTCATTGATTCATTGCTGCAGTTCGATAATGTGAAGCCATAGTAAAGCGCTCAAAGCATTAGACCAGTGCTGTTCACTTGAAATTGTCTGAATCCTGATCATTTTATAACTTTTTTTAAAAGGAAGAAATTCTTGAGCAGTGCTCGATTTCACTGCGTATATTCCTCTCATTTGAGGCTTTTCTCTCAGTCTATTCACTTAGTAGCACTCAAGCAACGCATCTAAGCTACAATCTCATCACTAAACTGATGTCGAATGAAGAGTCCAATATGCAAGATGTTATGTCTTAA